ATAATACAGTGACCTAACAATTCTTCATTTGAAAGAAATCTGAAAAATAATCTCTGGTACAGCCTAAGTGTGAGAATAACCCAGCGGGATTTCCATCTCTTCATTTCTTAATGAGTTTTTTGATAATGAGAGGCGACTTTGCCAGTCACTCTGGGCTCTATTATGGCTAATTTGACTCCACTTCACTCTCCTTGTTAATTATTAACACTAGCCTTTTTATCCTCACGAGACCACATTCCAATTTTTCCTTTTTTTTTTGATTTTTATGAGCCCATCTTTACGAAGGTGAAAGTCCTGGAGAACAGGTTTTTCACTTAGTGCAGGGCCTGAACATTTATTATTCGTTGAGGCGGTGATGCTGTGACATTGATTACATAAGCACGGGTGTTCTTCGGGATGGCTTTAATGTGCTAGCAATGTGAAAAGGCTGTTAATTAAAGAAGAAGCACCGTGGTATTTTTCACCTGGGAATCAGTTCCCAATAGAATGGTCATTTGCCACTTGCTAGCATATCCACAGATGAAAAGGTGACTGGCTCCAAGGGTTTGCCTTTCAGTCATGCTGAAAGGAACGATTTGTGCCATTTGCAGATGGCTTTCAATTGTCAGAAGCGGTCACTTGCATATCTATTCTCCACGGGACAATTGTGGAAAATAGCATGCCGGGCTACAATCTATTTGCCCCGGCTTCATAGTTATTTGGTATCGTTTAACTATCATGCTAATTGCTTCATTATGAAAACATTTATTTCCCCTCAGTTTCAGCGCATCTCTTTCAAAACTGTTTCCTTAGATACCAGGTAAATTCACTGCCAAGCCTTCGCTCTCTCTGGAGGCAATGGCTGGGGCAGACGGCTGCAGGGCACACGGCAAGCAGGACCTCGGCCTCTTCTGGCCAGAAATGAGGGAGCCTGTGCCTGTTTGCGTCATAAGTCTTGCTCTGGGAATCAGTGCAGGAGGCTGTGAGGGAAGGGAGAGCGGCTGACTGTGGTTGAAAGAGTGGTGCAGCTGGTCTTCTTCCCTGGAGGAAAACGCATCACATCCCAAGGGCTCTTAGAGCTATGACTTCCCTGATCTTGCTTAGCTAGGAGGTAGAACACGTACCTCAGACGTGATGTGGTTTACTCTTCCTTAAAATGGAAACCAAATAGGTGTTCTTAAGTCCATTTCCTGTGAATTAATTTAGCTCCTCTTACCACAGACACTGCACTGCATATGAGCTAAGACAATATGCACATATGTCTGATCCTTTCCTTACCCTCTATGCAATTCTCTTCCTCTTCCCTGACCATAATATAATGCTCTATGATTTTTGAGTTCACAATAACAAGTTCCAGGATTCTCTGATCTCTCTTAAAAAGATTATTTAAAAAATATCCCCCAAGCGCTCATTTGTTACTGTGGAATGAAACTAGACCAGATGTCAAATGATCAAGCCCCAATCCCCCTGTCCCAGGAGCCTGTGGGTGAGCCCCTGCCCAGGCTCTGCCATGTAAGGATTTCTTTTTCTGAACAGGAAAATGAAGAAGCTTGCTTAAGATTTCCCCTACATGCAAGAAGATAGACACTCATGTCAAAAAACAAAAGCATAAGAATTTTAATAAAAAGAATGGGAAACAACTTATGGGAATCCCTGAGTTATTCAGGAAAAAGATCCCTCTGCTATAAGGTTCTCATGCCACGAGTAATGTGGGAATTCTAACTAGAATTTCCATTTGTTTGAGGGTTCTTAGCAGTGTTAAATTTTAGAAAGCAAAGTGAGACTATTTATTTGTAATACTTAGTAATTAGTAATTTTAGCATTGTTAATTATTTCTTAGTAATAAATCCCAAAAATTTAAGCCTTATGCATAATTAGCACACCTTGTAAAACACACACATAGATACACAAAGTATTGTATTTTTATACATAAGCAGCATAATTCAGCAAATTATTTCTTTTTCCAAGACTGACCATTCAGAGTTCTCTGTTCCTAGTACCCTGAGCTACTTGAAACTATAATTAATTGGGATTTTCTTTATAACTTAAATTGGGTCAATATACAAAGGTTATTCTGGTTTTTTTTATTTTATTTATTTATTTATTTATTTATTTATGTGTGTGAGGCCAGCTCAGCCCACCAGGGGGGAGGGCTGTCTGGCATGTGGTGCTGGGGGATTGAACCGCGGTCCCTGTGGTTTGCTAAGCTTGTTCTAAGTAGGTGCTTTAGACCACTGAGCCATCTCACCAGCCCCTTGTTTTGTTTTGTTTTGTTTTGTTTTGTTCAAAGTGGGTTACCATGATAGATGGGTAGTATTGTCCCAAAGATTTCTAAAAGGACAATTTGGGGGCACCTTGGGCAGACATTAAACATTTGAACCAAATTCACTAAAATCCATCTGAGTAATAAATGGGACAAACATAATTATTAGTGACATTATCATCAAGAATGAGAGCTAGAGAAACTATGTTTTACCAACCACTGAGCTATTAATCATTGGTCTCAGCTTTAGGAAGGACTCATGTGTGGGTGGCAAAAGCTCCTGCCTTCCATTTCAATTCCCCAGGCCACACCAGCTCCCAGTACTGAAAAGAAATTATGGCACAGGGGAACATTCCTATTTACCTCACTACATAAAGGAACTGTTTTTCTCAGAAATAATTGATGTTTTCTAACAATTTGCTAATCACTGCAAAATCAAAGTCAAGATCTACACCTACCCTCAAAGTTGACAGTGCTCAAAAGAGGACAGTAGAAAATGCCTCTCTAGGCTGAATGAGTATTGTACAACAGGGAGCATAAAGCAACACATACCTAGTAGTGCTTGATGTTATAGATATGGAATAAAACGGAAGAATATGAAACTCTTGTGAATGAAATACTTTCAAATCTAGCTGAAAATTGAAACTTTGTCATTCTCATCTTGGTAAGAATGCAGGAACTCTTCTGAAGAGTAAATGTAAGAAGATATTAACACATTAGAGTTGTAGTAGTGGTTTTCCATAATTTCTAAGACATTACCAAATGTTTCTCTTATAAAAATTTAATTATTTTGAATAAATTAAATGATTTATCAGCTTACTGACTACTTGACTGTGAACATTGTTGCAGAACTTTTAAAATAAAATCCAATTTAAAGCTAAACATACAATCAAATAAGGAAAGAAAGCAGTGCTAGAAAATCTTCCACTTCTTCATCCTTATTTAGGAAATGAATGCATGCATTAAGTTTCTGCAGGGTTATTGCTACATGTGCCTAATATTAACCTGTGGTTGGTTAGCAGGGCATGGATGGTAATAGGAGACTGAGAAATGCAGTGGGTCATACAAAGTCTGCTAGCTGGCAGGTGGGAGCCAAACTGGGCCATCAAATCTGGCGGGACTGTTCAGAATGAATAATCTCCATATGGACAACTAAGGCTTGTACTAGCAACTTCTAAGCTGAAGCACTGTGGCTGACACTGAAGTAGGAGCCATCAGTTCTGTGACTTTGCAGCAGCACATTCTAGGAGCAGAAACTGAATAGGAGAAAAAGTAGGATGACTAAGGGATTCAAAAAATTTTTTAGACTGAACACTGATAACATCTACAAGTTTAGGTAGTATCCATGACTTCTTTAGTTGACCATAACACGCTAACTACCAGTAATGGTATGGGTGTTATCATTTTCTTTCTTTTACAGTACAGAGCATAAAGCTTAGAGGTTAAACTATTGTCAGAGATCAAGTAGTAAATGGCTGGGAAATGTGACTCTGGCACCAAAGCTAACACCAATGATTTCTATAACATGACATCTCTTCCTAGGACAGAGGTTCTCAACCTGCTACTGTTCTAAATCTAGGATGGCCACCAAAATTACCCTGTCACACAAAATTTCTTCTCTATATCCATTTCCCCTTAGTGCCAGCAAGTTTTGACAGAAACTCAAAGCCATGAATAACCAAAGAAAGCTAAGAAACATGAGACTATAGCGATGAGCAAAACCAACCAATGATATTTTTTTAAAGCAGAGACAACTGTAAAAATCATCGATTTAATTTTAAAAGTAGAAAATTTTAGTAACGGCCTCTTGGAAAACAATAACAAAAAGATGTGAACTTTCAACACACAGAAAGTTCCAAGTGTATCCACAGTGTGATCCTTGGGGAGCGAAAGCAGCCTCAAGCTGCAGGAAGGTGGGGCAGAAGACCGGTCCTGCTCACAGGGTCTGGGAGATCTGGGTCACTAGGTGAGCCCTGTGTTTTATTCAGCACCCGCCAGGGCACACTGATAAATGCAGTGAGGTCTGTTCAGGTGAGAGGTATGAATAGTAATGGAGGAAGACTCAAATGACCTGGGAAAAATGCATTGGGGAAGAAAATTCAGGACAGAGGGTAACTACCTCACCAACCAAGGAAAACAAGTTAGAGTGCAGGTAAGGAGGGTTTGAACCTGGTCTACGATGCACTGGCTGTTAGACCACCTACCAGAGTACCTGTAAAATTTATCATGCATTGGGGAGAACGTCTCCACAGATGACCTGACGTTCTTTTGAAACTTCATACCAAATGAGCAAGACTTACCACACAGCAATGAAACATCATCATCAAAAGAGATAATTACACTTGCAGGTCAAGAGTATTCCCACAATACACGTTATTAGGAGCCTTCACACAGAACAATTTCCAGAATAAGACCTCTGAGTTCTCTGAGATGCAAGCAGTACTTCAGCCAATCTTAAGCACCTCAGAAGTGCCAACCTGCATAGACTTCCTGATTTACATAGCGACTGTGAAGGTACCTCTGTGTGGGTCCTCAGCAGAGGCTAGAGGCTAGAGCACGAGGAACCTCAGCACTCAGGCAAGCAGTGTGGAGAAGGTGCCACTGTCTCCCCCAGACGTTGGCTGAGACAGCCACGCAGGCTAAGCAAGCACTGACACTACCCCATCAACCCTCCTTGGGGCAGCACTAACACTCTGCAAACACCCATGATACTCACCCACCTCCCCATTTACATAGGAAAGAAAATGCAAGTGCTCACCGTCATTTCTCAGGAAATTATTAAGCAGCTGGAAAAGAGGGAAACTATCCCAGGAGTCTTGTGGTTGAGCCTCCAGTGCAGTATCCATATCTACTGTGAATAAAGCCCAAAATTTCTCTGCATGCTCAGCCAATAAATCTGGCCACCAGGCAAACGCCTATAAAAGCATAAAGAAAGAAAGCAAAAACGTTGCTTGTTAGAAATATACATGGACATGGAGAGAATACTACAAGTTTCATTTTTGTGACAATAAAAGCATAGAATGTACATGTTTAACTAATTTGGTATATATAAATTTTGGTGTAAAATACAAAGTCTAAACTAGAAGTGAAATATACAAAGTCATATGTTGTTCTATAAAAATAAATGTTTAATTTACAACATTTGGAAGGTTATTTTGGAGGGTACAGGAATTAAACCCAGGCATTCCCACTTGCCAGGCACGTGGCACACCACTGAGCTATATTCCCCATCTCATTCATAAAAAAGAAGAAAATTCTTATATAGCATAATTTAAATATCACTACTTGATTGTTTTGGTGTATTTCCAATATTTTTCTTTTTTCATGTGAAGAGAAACATTAACCCATTTGACATTGTAGTCTACAATGATTTCGTTTGACTTTACTCTTTTTTTTTTTTTAATGTCTTTAGTACAGTGTCTACAGGGTCTCACTACACAGATCGGACTTGCAGTGATCCTGCTTTTCAGTCTCCCAAGTGCTGGGATCCCAAGTGCCACCAGGCCCAGTCTCAATCGCCATCTCAGTGTGCCCCAGGGGTGGGGTCAGCACGGCACGCCGGGGATCGAACACTGGTCCCTGCATCTGCCCAAGCAGGTGCTTTGATCGCCTGAGCTTTCTGGTCAGTCCTTCCGTTAACTTCCGTTTACTTTTAATGACAGTGTAGTATTTTACATTAAGGATATGCTGTTATTAACTACTCCCCTAGGAGAATGGCTATCTCCAACTTGCAATGACAGTGTGATAAATATTTTTATATAAAAATCCTTTGAATATAATACTGACCATTTCCTTTGGAAAAACTAATAATTACTGGATCAAAAGGTATTTTAAGAGTCTTTACATATTGCAATTTCCTTTCTAGAAAAAGAAAATGTTTGCTGCTGTCCACTGTCCATACAGCAATGGATCATAATTTATAATTTCAGAATACAAAGAGGATTACACTAATATCTTTTTTAAATTCTTTTTTAATCATCGCCATTTCCAGGAGCACTTGAAACCCTTAAGAATACATAAAGGTTTGTATTATCTCCTTGTTACTGGTCTACAACACAACTTCACTGAGAGGATTTCCTGGCCTTTGCGTACAAGTTACACCAGGCATTTTTATTTCACAGACTCTTGCACTGATTATTAGATGCCATGTATGACTTGGAACGTCTACCTCTAAAATCTGACTAGGAACACTGTCAGGGTAACTCTGTATTTCCTAGTCGTCAGCTTCCACTCAGCGAGGCACTTCATTATGCCTTGTAGCTAAGGCACGTAATCACTTTAAAAATATCTCTGCTGACTGATAGGAGAGCAATACCTAAGTTTTTAGAGAGTTCTTGAAAACAGTGGGGATTTCTTTGGTTTTAGTTTTGCTTTACTTTGCATCTCTCTAATTATAAATGAATTTTAAAAAATATTTGCATAGGTAAGGACCATTTTTCCTTTTTTATTTTTAGTGTATGTTTGTAATTCTTTCTACTGGAATTGATACTTGTCTATAACACATCTTGGTCATTTTTCATTCTTTTACCCTGTTCCTAATCCTCCCTCCCCTCCCTGATTATCATCCCTATTCATAAAAAGTCTGCCTTTTTATTTTCTAGAATCTCTTCTTTATTTTTTATTTTTCTTATTTATGACTTAGATTTCTCACACAGGCAAAGCCATGTGATGTCTAATTTTAAATGTCTTACTTCTTTCTCTTAACAATACAGTCTGAGTTCCATTCAATTTTCTAAAGATCACATTATTTTATTCTTTATGGTGAGGTAATATCCTATAGGATACTATTCGTATATGATTTTTTGCTCACTTTTTCTTTTAATGGGTATCTAAGGTGTTTCCAGATCTGATCTCTTATAAATTATGGCGCTATGCATGTAGGTATGTACATATCACTATAGTATAATATCTTTAACTCTTGCAAATGTACTGAGGAGAAGTGGAATTTTTATTTTTAGCTTTTTTGTGGAATCTCCATACTGCTTTACCAGATGATTTTACTAGTTTACATTCTTACTAATAATGTAAAAGGGGTTGAAGGACCAATCTTAACATCATTTTTAGTGAATTGTCTTGCAGGTCTCATGTTTCTACTGCTCTCTAAACAAATAACTATAAAAATACAGACCGGTGATATGGATAACTTCCTTACTCTCCCAACTAAAATTATTCATTCAACAAGATTTAAAACAGTAAAACTGTAAAGAAGTCCACCTCTTTTTCAAGTTTTATTTAATTTATTCAATGATAAATTAGATCATAACTGAAAGAGGTAAGCCAGAGCACAGAAAGTCAATTACAAAATATCC